GGGCGGGAGATTCATGTGATTGGTTGTTGGTCAAAAAATCGCCAAGCTTCAGACACGCCCAGCATCAATATTTTTGTATGCCTGTAGTGTAGACGGGCCGTTAGACCAGCAGGGGTACCAAATATATGCAGACTGCTGCAATAAGTACATTAATTAACTGTCTCGTCGATGTATGTCTGAATTAATATGATACTATTAACAATCATATTATTCCCATCAGCTGTCAATCACTGTTATGATTCACATATTCAGTGTTATTATTAAATAAACTATATTTTTTGGAGGAGTTAATGATGAACGTTCCTCAAGATGCTTGCTCACCCTCCTTCAAATTTGAAAGACAAGTAATTACTATCATATATTAAAAGAATCAAAGGAACAGTTCAGCGCCCCTCAACTTTACTGCAAACAGTTACAACCTTGACTTTACATCAGAAAGAACAAACATTAAAGAAGTGACTAACTGCATCAATTAGGGTTAAAAAACGTGTATTCAGCTAAAACATAAACATCGCTGCAGTTATTATCCAGTGGAAAGCCCTTACCTAATGGCCTAGTTAAATGAAAGAGGTTACTTCTTTTTGGCTGGGCAGTGAAGTTTTACACACCGTCTTATTTGACTTTCTCAGGACTTGAAACTGTTTTTTGGGGGCAGACCCCCACAAAGAAGAAACATATTATACACACGTAAGGTCATCATCTTAACAGTTGTTTATGCTCATTGAGTCATCCGTGAGCAGAGCATCAAGTTGGCATGCCTATAACAGCTGAATGCGGCGATTACCATCTTGTTCAGCAAAACGCCTCACAAACTTATTAAGATTTAAAGCTATGGTGCAATTCAATGCTGAGTACAGCCAAACTTGAAAGGCTCTTCTCTGTCATTGTAGACCGCAAATACCTAATTCCTTCCGTCTACTTGGATCCGAAATGCTTCTCGTTTTGCGCTGTCCCCCGTTCAAATGAAATCACCGCCAATCATATTTCCACGCTCGTGCCAGGGCCGGGGGAGGGGTTACAAGGCTCGGGTCTTGTGTTGCATTCACTTGCAATCGGACATTAGAGATTTTCTCTCATAAATGTCTGATGAGCCACAACTTCCCTTTCAAAACAAAGCTGCCAAATGGGGTGGCAACTAGGGTGGCAAGGCATTTTTCTGAGGTGGCAGCTGCCACCCCGTAGAACCGCCACTGCTCATGAACCACCTCCATAACCAATCTGTTGTTTGCAGAGGTGGAAAGTTAGGGTTAGGGTTAGTACAATGTTTGAGGTTCCTGTAGTTTACTTCAGATAATACCAAATGTCCTCAACAAATAGTTTGTCATGTATTATTTTAGGTTAAGGCGAGACACGGCAGGCAAAAACATCGTTTTTCAAGTACAGGTCAATTTTGAGATTTTGTGCTATTTTGATTCCATAACATGTTTTCTTTCAGGGTTTTGGAAGGAAAACGTACAAAATACACATTTAAGTGTTTATTTTACTATAGTTTGTCTATTTGCGTCTGTAGATTTCTCCTAAATTCACCAAAAGTTAGCATTCTAACGTAACATAAAGTACCGCGACCGCTGTGTGCACCATGTCAACAGAGGTATCGCTGGAAAGCTGTGTCTCTCCTGCACAATCTCATCGGATCCAAATATGGTCATTTCCTTTGTATCAGCAACCAATCGTGAAAGCACAAAGGGGTCTTAAACCAAGAAACGAAATCTCATTGGCTGGTGTCAATTTCTGACAACGTGATTCGTTCAGATGCGTCACGTGGTGTGCTAAAACACTTCCTGGTTAGCTTTCAGCTAGAAATTGAAATCTCAAAATGCAAAAAGAACGGCGAAAAAAACGTTCACAGAGAAGACGACAACAATTGTCACTTGCACGAAGCAAGGTTATAAAAAAAAAAATGACCCTGAACATGACATACCTTCACGGAGTGCGTCGATGCGCAAGCTGTCATCCAAAGAACAGGAGGGTTTAGCTAGCGCCTCACTGCAATCTTTAAAGGTCGTTTTCTCAAAATGAGTTTTTTCTCCTACTCTGAGTTCGAAATTTCAACTTCAGTAGCACGTACATTCACCAAACCTTCCAGTTATATTCCTATCAATATTATGAAGGCTTTTACAGAAGGGTTTGTCCATATATCATTCATAGCCTGAATTATACAACATTATATACCTAAAAACATGGCGAAAATTGATATTTTAGGGCTGTTGACAGTATTTTCTGATTTATGGAGTGATAAAAAGAGATATCCAATATCCCTTCTGTAAAAGCCTTAGATACTAATATGACTACAAAATGAAACAATAATTTTGAATCTGGCTATATCCAAAGTTCAGATTTCGATTCCTGAAATGTGTTAAAATATGTGCATATTTAATGAGATAATGGATAATTTGCATATTTAAACATGCTATTTCAGAAAACTTGTAATACAAAAGACAATTGCCTTATTGTAAGTAATTAACTGGAGAAATTTCTAGCTGATACCTTTAAGTTAAAAAAAAGTACCCTATTCACGTGTCTCGCCTTAAGACAACTTTTTATTGATATTTTTGTGAAATTCACAAGATACATGATGGTATATTTAACAAAACAATATACCATTGGGCTGCTGTTGGTAAGAGCTGCCAGGTAAGCGGGTTTGAATCCCGAGCACAAAAACATTTTAGGCAATGCCATCCCTTCTTTCTCCTCTTTTCAACCCTGCATCTCTAATGAAGTCGCTCTCTGGTCCAAAACATATATTTAAAAATAAATAAATCAGCACTACCTTTACCTGCTGCAATTTTTAAATAACTTAAAATATGAATCAATAATTATAATCCAACATTATTTTCAAATGGTTAATTGTGCAGAAAGAGTACTTTTACTTTAAATTAAAAAGAAGAAAGACCTAGAAATACCCGATGTTTGAGCCTATAGCAGCAAAACTGAGGGCTGATTCAAGGCAGCCCTAACTTTGAGATTTATCAAAAAGCAAAGTCTTAATCCCAATCTTAAAAATGGATAAGGTGTCTGCCGCCCGAACACACACTGAGAACACAGATGAGAATAAACCCAAGTCCAACATGCCTTCTCTTTAACTGAAAAACAATAGTTTAGTATGTAAACATAATTTACGAGAAAGAAAAGGATATCTTCCCTTTATAAGCATTAGTCAACTGTTAAGTGCATCTGTAAATAAAAGGATGTCACAAGAGCTGGTGACCTGGTGATACCCTTTATGTAAAATATGATTGTCGATATATAAAAACTAGGGCTGTCAGTCGATTAATATATTTAATCGCGATTAATCGCATGATTGTCCATAGTTAATTGCGATTAATCGCAAATTAATCGCACATTTTTTATCTGTTCTAAATGTACCTTAGAGGAATATTTTTCAAGTTTTTAATACTCTTATCAACATATGAGTGGACAAATATGCTTTATGCTAATGTTTATTATCATTTGAACAATGACAAAAATTCTCATGAATATTAAACACAACAACCTGGAACCTCTCATACAATAATACAATACAAATGGTGTGTGTGTGTGTGTGTGTGTGTGTGTGTGTGTGTGTGTGTGTGTGTGTGTGTGTGTGTGTGTGTGTGTGTGTGTGTGTGATGGATCGTTGGAGATATGTGCAACTCAAGGCATATGCTCGAACGGGAGCTGCCTGGACGCTGCAATCATGTTGCGCACTATCCGTGCTGAGTGTGCTGACTTTTCGTACAATGTCCCACTGTCTGGCTTCCTGCATAAAGTCAAGTGCTCGGCGCAGTTGTCGGCGAAATGTCGCTCCTCTGTTTTCATTTAAACAGCTCCTTATATCCGTTAGCGCAGCTAGCTAGCACCAGATGCTAACAACAACAATGCAAGTAAGGTCTCTCTCTCGCTCGCTCGGGCCACACATACACACACCCTCCCGGTCCTCCCAATAGCCAGTCGGTGCCTGCCGGTGAGCGTGGAAGTGTGGTCTGCAGCAAGCGGGCGGCAGGAGCGGGGCTGTCAGCATCAGCTTGTAGATGGTATTTTAAACTCGATGCGCTCTGAAACTACGGGGCGGCCGAGGAAAAAAAAATACACATGCGTTAATCGCGTTAAAATAATTAGTGGCGTTAATTTTTTTTTGCGTTAACGCGTTATTAACGCGTTAACTTGACAGCCCTAATAAAAACCTTGATATGTGGAGGGATGAGTAGAAGGGATTCATTGCAAAATGATAAAATGTGGACAATTATTAAAAAAATGGTCACATAAAAAAAAACAATATTATTGTTACTACTTGTCTGGGATAAAAAAGCATGTTGCCGTTTTCTGTATGTCACCGATTTCTTTATCTGGTTCTCCTTAATTGTATGAACTAAACTGCATTGTCAATTACGATTTGAGGTAAAATATTTTATTTGTTTTTGATATATCAGAAATATATTTCTGGTCAGTCTGTGGAAACCAAAAGCTTTGTTGTCTTTTCCATACAGCCATCATTTATTATATATTGTGATTATTAAAATCCAAACCATATTGTTTCTAAACATTAAGTAGTGTTTCAGTGTTTTCAACAGTTACCTTGTGTTTAAAACTGGAACTCTAACACGGGAGAACATAATTTACTTTAAAAAGGAATTGCAGTTTAGTTTAATAGGAAACATAATTGTATGGAAGAGAAAGGAAGCTAAAGTGAAGGAAGTAGAATATAAAATGTTTGCCCCTAAAATATCTTAAATCAAAATCAAAATCAAGTTAATAATGTTTGCTTTTCTCTTTTTCTGTCAACTGTAGTATTTCAGCTCCAAAACACAAAACCACTAAGTCATTTAAACCCTCTGAGATTGATGGTATTTGTAGTGTTTGCAGCAGAAAGGATTATGGGAGTTGAAGAGTTGGTGGTGTCTCAACCGTTGGAGAAAGAAAGGCCTTGTTGCTCTTGTAGTTCCTCCTCCACTCCCTCTTGGTGACGGGCCACTGAGAGGCGGAGCTACACTGAAATAGGAGAGCTTCAACTTCCCAGAAATGAAAGTGAAAGTTTGTCTGAGCGACACAACAGCTGCACGTGTCTCTGCTTCTCTCTAAAGAAACACTCGACTGAATCCAGCAGCTTTTCTCAACAACACAGCAGAATCTCTGCCAAACACTGGTGAGTAAACTCCAGACACAATCACTAACTAAATATTTGAACAAGATTTAGCTTAATCAGAATCTGAGGCTGGTACGTCTGTTCAGACATATAGTGAATATTAGGCCATATACATGTGTCTTTTAAGATAACAACGTTTATATTTAGACTTGAGTACAAAGCAGGTTTAAAACCAAATCCAGTGACTGAACTCTGGCTGGTGAAGTTTAGACAGGGGTTGCGTTCCGATAATCCAAAAATCAGCTCCTAAATTCTAACCCTATCTCCTATTCCTTGACCTCTGAGTGAAACGTCACGGGGTTAAGGGATAGTGGATAGGAGAATTCAAAAGGACTTAGGAGAAGAGACTGCGGTACTTTAGAGAATCGACTGCACTTTCACTATCTGACGTGTTTATGATGCGCCAGCGGACGACATTTTGTGCGTCTGCTGCTGTGGGGTAACCATGGAAACTACAGTTTTCTATACAGCGGACTACAACATGGATGTTTAATAAGAACGAGGGACTACTGTAAACTCATCTAGAGACTCTGCACCATGCTCTGACGCTGTTGCTTTATGCTTTATGAACGTGGACAACAGAGAAATATATTCTTCATGACCAAAGTTGGAGTTGAAATAAAAAAGGAAAGTGAAACTTATGCTCGTCACCCTCTCCCTCCGGTCCACATTAATACAGATGATCCCAATACGTATGATTGTATGATTGATGAAAAGATCTTCAAATCAATACAGATGTATTTATTATAAACGTTAATCCTTAACATCTATCACTGTGTACATCACCATTCAAACATCTTTTAAAAGTCGAACAAACCACACAGCTCAGTAAAGACTGTGAGATGTTGACTTTATTTGATCATTTCAGTAAAAACTAACGTTCATATTTCTCTCTTTGATTATAATACTGACGAACGTTCAGAACAAAGCACTTTGGCAACTTACCACATACGTTTTTAAAAAGCTTAATAAGCACCGTAACTTTCATGATATAATTTCTCGGTCATAATCGGTTGTTTCCGTGAACGGCCTACTGTTGAGATGGCAAATGCTGCGGCTGCAATGCATTGTGGGGCAGCATTTTCTCCTCTCCTTTCGGTTAGGGAGGTCCAGTGGTTCCTAAGCTAAAGGAGGTTATAAAGGAAGTTTGAAACCTCCTTTCCTTTCATTTGGAGAATTGGAACGGCACTTATCATGGCTGCCAGTGACGTACTTCCGGGTCATTTCACTCCGTTAGGAAGGTTCCTAAGCTAAATGGACTATTGGAATGCAACCAGGGTAACGGCACAGCTAGCATTAGCTTAGGCTCATTTCCAGGCCTGTTTCCTGTATGAACTCAAAGCCTCAGCTCTACTCAGACAGGAAGTGCCACTCAGCGCCGCAGCCAGGGAAAATGTTTAACTTAAATATTACATACATTTTTTATGCAATCCTGATTCTCCTCTTTATCCTCTTTTTCCAAGCTGACTCTCTGACACTTACGGCCCGTCCACACAGCGGCGTGCGTTGACGCGTGTCTGACACTCGACCAACAACCAATCACATGAATCTCCCGCCCCTGACACACAAGCAGTGGTTTGATTGGCTAGAGCTTGTACTGGCATATGATTCGATTGGCTGACGCTTCTGCCGAGGCGTCAAAAGTTGAACATTGCTCAACTTTTGCAGCGAGCCACGCCAGCAACGCTCCGTGTCGCTTCCCACGATGCAGTTCGGCTAAAAGTGACGTCACCCCATTCAAAGTGAATGGGCCGAAGCGTTGGAAGCTTCAACGCACGCCGCTGTGTGGACGGGCCGTTACTCTCACTCAGACGCTTTAATACAACAAGTAATATATAGAAATCATACCAAAATACATTAATTATATAATAACCATCACGGCAAGACGTGAACATGTGACGATTTACCATGCTGGGAGACGTGAAGATGTCACGATTTCGTCCCTTCAAACGTGACAGTTACACGGTATTGTTAACCCATGTTAACCAGTGGAGAAATACCCGGAAATGCCAAGCAAATGCTACCCCGACGGTCGGTTGTTATTGTCAATATTAATATAATAATGATTGTATAGTAGAGTCAAACTCGATGACGCCGATTTTCTTGTTGCCCCAGCTGGTCGACACCTCTTTTAGCAGAAACAAAGGCTACATTAATGTATTAAATTGATGTTAATCCATGCGTGTGGAATTAACGGACGTGACGTTGTGCGATTGCGTTGCCAGGCAACAGCTTCGGTTCATGTTAATTTACAAACTCTTCAACTAGAACCGTAGTTATATTTAAAAACATTTTAGAAGGCCTCACGAAATTCTTTAATGTAAATTAAAATTAAAATGTGAAGGAATGTGTGTATAACAAAATACATCCGTCATAAACGAAACCGGAAACAGACGTAGGCAAGATCCTCAGCTCGATGATTGGATGGTTTATTCGCAATGCATGCTGGGATTTGGTGTTTATGTGATGTGAAATCTGAAAAAGTTTTTTTAAAATAAAATAATACGTTATTCCGAGTGTGCTTGCTTTTCTCTTTGAAAGTCATCACATAACGGCATTGTAATACACGGTTCGGCTGCATTAAATACCGTTTTCCCTCTAATAACAATATAAGCAGCTATGTCATATGAGCAGGGTAGCCGTATTATAATATTGATTAATGTGTAATGTGACGGTCATGGAGGGATCATTGGGTTGTAATGGTTTTCCATTTTACTTTATTATGATTTTCCATATTAAAGTGCTGATATAAACAAGGAACACAGGGCTTTAGATTGAATCACTGCAACAATATAAAATATTAGTTTATCGTTGTTTTCATGTATTATTAGGAAATGTTTGTACTTTTATTCCAATAACTAACAAGCAGCTAAATGCTACAGCTATAAAAGTGACTGGCAGCAGGCAGTGAGAGGCAGCCTCAAGAAATTATGTAAATTAAATAAAACCCTTTGCAAAAATAATCTAAAGTAAAATGAGCTTACTCCTTGACTCTCTGTATCCGCCCGTCTCCAGCTGAGCTAAATGAAACGTTTTCAGACCTTAACACGCTACACTGCAGACCAGTCGGACTTGTTCCCCAACATGTTTTTATAGGGCGATGCAGTTAAATGCTGGTTACCATAGTGACAAACGCTCGTTGGCTCCAACAAAAGAGACGCACACCAAACTGATGATAAACTGAATTTGATTGAAGTTAGTTACAAATTAAAAGTACAATGATGTATAGAGGATGGAAATAGTGAAAACTATGAGGATACATTCACATCAATACCTCAGACATCAGTATTTACTAGCAGGGTAAGAAGTACTCTGATCATTTATTGAAGTAAAATACCACAATGTGGACATTTACAAGAAAAAGTTAAACAATGTAAAGAATATCCTTTTTAAAAAGTAAAATGTATTATACAATTGGATTATAATTATTTATGGCTCAATGTGTAGAACATTTTATTGTACTGCTTGGTAAATTACCCTGAGGTTTATTAAATCATAATTTAGTTGATATTTTTGGTGGAGAGGTATAAATACAAAATATAAAAGAAACTCAAGTACAGTACCTGAATACACCTTTTTACTCTCCCTCTGTCATCTGTTATGCTGAATTAATGTGTGTAAGTTAATCATTGTTAATTAATTAATAATCACATTTAGGCTCAACAATATAATATATTGTTTTCATTTATTATTGTTGTGAAAAAGATCTCTAAGTTGTCGCCTATTTTCTTGGCTTGGTGATTTCCAATAAATAACACTGAACTGCACATCGGGTTCTTCTTCACTCAGTTTCTATTTGTATGTTATTCAGGACGATTCATAGTTTGATTATTTTTTAACAAATAATTAAAACTTTATTTAAAGGTCCCCTATTATACTGTTTTTCATCAATATATTATAGGTCTCAGATATATACAAAACATGTCTCTGAAATGTTTGGCTCCAAATACCAAACAGATCATTAGGCGCATTCACACCGCAGTACTTTTCCCACAAAGGTTCATGAGAACTTTTTTGTCGCGTTCACACCAAGAAGAGCCGGAACTAAAATTAGTTCATGAGAACCTTTTTACCCCCTTTTCAGTCCCTGCTAGAGAGCAGGGACTTTCGTGGGAGAAAAAGGTTCCTATTTCTGATTGGCTGGGCGGATTGCAAACCACGCCCCGTAAAACTCCCAAAAGGTTTTGTGAAGCCGCCATTTTATTATTCTCGTATTAGCATTAGCATTAGCATTAGTCCAGCACAGAAACGCAGAGAGACTAACTTATGGCAACACAAAAGAAAACATGGGAGCGGTGGAGATGAGGAGGTGTTGGCGTTCTGGCGATTTACTCGGAAGGCTTCAGTAGAAGCTGCTGGGAGTCCCAGCAGCTTCTACTGAAGCCAGTCCCCAACTCCGGGGACTTTGGGCGGCAGTATACGCAGTGGTTTGCGGCCTGCCAGTAAACCCAAAGCAGAAGAAGAAGAAGTGACGTCAGCGGCTTCATTTGCCTAATCCACCCCCAGGGACTTATTCCGGTGTGAACGCGATCTGTACTTAGTTCATGAGAACTAAAGAGTTCTCATGAACTAAGTTCTGATGAACCTTTGTGGGAAAAGTACTGCAGTGTGAATGCGCCTATTGCAGCATCCCATAATCCCCTCTGTTTCAGCCCTGTTTCCAAAGTGCTGATTCTCTGTCTGTTACTTTAGATGAAAATAAGGAGCCCCTCCCCACGCCCCTCTGAGAGAGATTTGGTTAAAAAGAACACAATGGTGCTCTTGGAGGAGATTCAGGTGATATGGAGGGGGGGGGGGTTACCTTGGTTGGTGATTGGCTAATGGTTACACAAACCCAAAAATCATTATGACATCATAAAGTGGCCAAAATCTGATCAGCTCATTTTCAGACAGGTTTCTATAGAAATGGATCAGGACAAAAATAGAGAGAATCTTTTTTTCTGAAACTTTCAGAGCCTCTTTACACAGAGGGGACACATGTTGATGTAGAAGAGACATGAAGAAGAGGGGACACATGTTGATGAAGAAGAGACATGAGGAAGAGGGGACACATGTTGATGTAGAAGAGACATGAAGAAGAGGGGACACATGTTGATGTAGAAGAGACATGAAGAAGAGGGGACACATGTTGATGTAGAAGAGACATGAGGAAGAGGGGACACATGTTGATGTAGAAGAGACATGAGGAAGAGGGGACACATGTTGATGTAGAAGAGACATGAAGAAGAGGGGACACATGTTGATGTAGAAGAGACATGAAGAAGAGGATTTTGCATAATAGGTGACCTTTAATGTTTTTTCAAACTTTTGTCCCCAGAGAGACATGTCTGCTGCCAGCTGTCTGCTGACTGAAGATCAGTTTCTGTGCTCCATCTGTCTGGATGTGTTCACTGATCCAGTCAGCACACCATGTGGACACAACTTCTGTAAAGCCTGCATCACTCAACACTGGGATAGAAATGTCCTGAGTCAGTGTCCCAACTGCAAAGAGGTTTTCAACATAAAGCCTGAGCTGCTGGTCAACACTTTCATCTCTGAGATGGCTGCTCAGTTCAGACAGTCAGCTCAACAGAAAGCCAGCAGCAGCAGCTCAGAGCAACAAGTTCTCAAACCAGGAGAAGTTCCCTGTGACGTCTGCACTGGAACCAGACTGAAGGCCTTGAAGTCCTGCCTGGTGTGTCTGGAGTCCTACTGTGAGACTCACCTGGAGCCTCACCTGACAAGAGCAGGCCTGAAGAAACATCAGCTGATCGACCCTGTGGAGAACCTGGAAAGCAGGATGTGTGTGAAGCACGATAAACCGCTGGAGCTGTTCTGTAAGACCGACCAGGTGTGTGTCTGCATGCTCTGCACTGTTTCAGACCACAAGACACATGATGTTGTTCCTCTGAAAGAAGGATATGAAGGAAAGAAGGCTGAGCTGGGGAAGACAGAGGCTGAAATTCAGCAGATGATCCAGAAGAGACGACTGAAGATCCAGGAGATGAACCGCTCAGTGGAGCTCAGTAAGGAAGGAGCAGACAGAGAGATAGCAGATGGTGTTCAGGTCTTCACCGCTCTGAAGGAGTCTGTTGAGAGAAGGCAGGCCGAGCTCATCGACACCATCAAAGAGAAGCAGAGAGAGACAGAGGAACAGGCTGAAGGCTTCATCAAAGAGCTGGAACAGGAAGTCTCTGAGCTGAAGAAGAGAAGCTCTGAGGTGGAGCAGCTCTCATGCTCTGAAGACCAGCTCCACCTCCTCCAAAGCTTCACGTCCCTGAACCTGAACGCTGCTCCACCCACCAAGAACTGGACAGAAGTCAGGGTCCGTCCACCTTCATATGAGGGGACTGTGGTGAGAGCTGTGACTCAGCTGGAGGAGACGCTCAGGAAACAGATGAAGAAGCTGTTTGAGGTGGAGCTGAAGAGGGTCCAGCAGTATGAGGTGGAGGTGACTCTTGATCCTGATACAGCACATTCCAACCTCATTCTGTCTCATGATGGAAAACAAGTTAAACCAGGTGATGTGAGGAAGAATCTTCCAGACAATCGAGAGAGATTTGATCATTGTTCTTGTGTTTTAGCAAAGCAGAGTTTCTCTTCAGGAATATGTTATTACGAGGTTCAGGTTAAAGGGAAGACTGAGTGTGTTCTAGGAGTGGTCAGAGAGTCGATTAACAGGAAGGGAAGCATCACAGCGACTCCTCGGGATGGTTACTGGACGATATGGCTCAAGAAAAATGAGTGCAAAGCTTGTGCTGGTCCTTCAGTCCGTCTCTCTCTGAAGTCTCAGCCTGAGAAGGTGGGGGTGTTTGTGGATTATGAGGAGGGTCTGGTCTCCTTTTATGATGTTGATGCTGCAGCTCTGATCTACTCCTTCACTGGCTGCTGCTTCACTGAGAAACTCTACCCTCATTTCGGTCCAGGTCTTAATCATGGTGGTAAAAACTCTGCTCCGCTGATCATCTCTCCTGTCAATCACACTGAGTAGAACAACCATTTGATGTTTTTTTTTCTTTCTTTGATGCTATTTACTACAATTACAGGCAGATTTTTCAAAACAAAATGTATATCATGTAATATCTCATTTATTCTAATGACTGCATAATTTGCCTTCAAGAATGTTGATTTAACAAAGATAATGCACCAATGAACACGAAACAATTGCATGTCCATTAATGTCTTGAGCCAAGGAAATTAGTTTTCATTGTCCAATCATTGTATACATAATATATTGTTGGAGCTGCTGGCTCTATGGGAGAGCCCGGTCTGCTTAAAAAAACACTTTTCGTATAATACCTCTCACTGCCTAAACAATAGACACAGGCCATCGCTGCAAGTCTAACCATAGGGTGTTAAATAATAACTCCAATTAAAATGTCAAGAGCCACTAATTTGGTGATAGCTAACTAGAAGGCCAACCTGTCGTGTTAGACACTACCACACTGTATTAGGCATTCATAATCAATCTTATTCTCAATGCCACTGGTACATGTAGTGCAAAAGGTGCATCCACAAAATGCGGTTCGAGATATTTTTACTTTTATTTTTGTACAACTAAAGCCTTAAGAAAAGAGACGGTGTAGGAGCCAAAACGCTTAGTTAGCCTGTGTTTATTGTTTTTATTAGTATCATTATCATTATTGTTTACAAAGAACGCATTTGTTTTTGACCACTTCCAGTAGTTCTCCAGGGTGTGGTTTTATGGTATTCAGGTCACCTCTTGTATGTCGGGGTTGGTGGAAAGACAATGGGGTAGTTTTTCTTCCATAATGTTTTGTTGACCGTATAGTCCATCTTTAGTTATGGTGTGTTTTATTTCTTTATTAAACAGAGCAAAGAGCTGAACTGTGACTTCATTCATTAGGAGTTTGATTTCTACAAGAAGGACATTTAACTAAACATTTTAAATGCAGAACTTTTACTTGTAACTGAGTATTTTCAGTGGTGGTATAAATACAACCGAGTGTTTCTCAAATACAAATTGTAGTTGGACTTGTTTTTTTTATTGCAACCTTATACTTCTACTCGAACAACAGCTTTGGAAACGTTCCAGATTACATCAGTAGCGCACTGATACACACATTTACTGCACACAAGCATTTTAGATTGATAAAGTGCATTTTGATGATAAGACTTTTATTTTGAAAAAAGTTGGAAATCCAGGAATTCTACTCATGGAGTATTTTAACAATGTTGTATTCATACTTTTACTTTAGTAACTCATGGGAGTACTTCCTCCACTCCCTCTTATTTACGGGCCACTGAGAAGTGGAGCAAACATGTAAAAGAGGAGGGCTTTATCTTATCTTCACTGAATTGAAAGATAAAGTTTGTCTCGGCGACAGCAGAGCTTCAGTCGAGACACGTCTGTTTCTCTCCAAAGAAACACTCAACTGAATCCAGCAGCTTTTCTCAACAACATAGCATAATCTCTGCCAAACACTGGTGAGTAAACTACAAAGACAACATTACTATTAAATATTTGGTCAAATGTTTGAATCTGAATGCTTTACATACCTCATAAAGAATTGTAAACCAAAGATGTTGTCAATGAAAGATTTGCAATAAGTATTAAACTTTTGAAACAAAACCCAGTGACTGAATTCTGGCTCGTGAACATTGTACAGAAGACATTCACAGCTAGCACTAGCATAAGGCTAATTTACAGACCTGTTTCCTGTAGTAACTCAAAGCCTCAGCTCTGCTCAGACATGAAGTGCCACTCAGGAATCTGAAATGCAAAACTATATTAAATCTAATATACTGAATCCAGAGTAGCAGCTTCTGTCTTTTCTTCTGCATGTTTATTGAGTCTGATTCTGTATTATAATCCTCTCTCTGAAACTCCTCTTCCTCCTCCATGCTGACTCTCACCCATTGAAAGCCTTCAAACAAAAAAGGTGTTTTTTATTTGGTCTGGTCCCTCAGATACTCTAAATAAATGTAAAATAAAAAGTCAATATTAATAAATGAGTTAAGTTCAATATTAAAGTGGAATTTAATACATATTTAGCTTACGTTAAAGTAGTTTCACTCTAAAACAAGAAGGAACAAGTTAACAGTGGTATATTACGTTTAAGTGTAAAAACATCTACAATACTTAAAACTTAGCCTAATATCTGGACAATTGTTCAAACCATAGAAGGCTGAGGGGGGCTTTAGCTAGATGACTTCATATCTGCCCCATTATCCATTTGAACTAAATGAAACGTTTTTGAATTCCTTTAACAGTGAACGCTGTTTTTATCTGTGAATCAACAAGCTCACACGCCACACTGCAGACCAGTCGGACTTGTTCCCCAACATGTTTGTACAGGGCGATACATTTAAATGCTCGTTACCATGGTGACCAGCGGCTCGTTGGGCGGAACGAAGGATAAGAGTTGCATGAAAAATGTACCAATGATAAAATGATTATGATTTAAGTTAGTTAAAAATTAAAAGGTACATTCAGGTACTGAAGTTGGAAACAGTGGTGTCAATACAGTGGTTTATATGTACCGCATGTTGTCAATGCAACAAAAAAAATACTATCTTTGTGAAAAGAGTTTGACACATTGGATTTTGGCATCCATTACATGAATGCCTAATATGACTCACTCATACTGATGTTATCTCTTCAAAACTTCCTGCGTCACTGACTGCATCCCTGCCTGGTAGACAGTGCGGATGGGATTTACAGGAGCCACAATAACCCATTGTTTGACTTTGAACAAATAATACAAAACATACTAAATAAAAAATCTTGTTTTGCACACTATTTCAGAGTGAAGATATGTCTACTGTCATCTTTCTGCCAACTGAAGATCAGTTTCTATGCTCCATCTGTCTGGATGTGTTCACTGATCCAGTCACCATACCATGTGGACACAACTTCTGTAAAGCCTGCATCTCTGAACACTGGGACAGAAATGTCTCATTTAAGTGTCCCAACTGTAATAAGCTCTTCTTCCCAAGACCTGAGCTTCTGGTCAACACTTTCATCTCTGAGATGGCTGCTCAGTTCAGACAGTAAGCTCAACAGAAAGCCAGCAGTAGCAGCTCAGAGCAACAAGTTGTCAAACCAGTAGAAGTACCCTGTGACGTCTGCACTGGAACCAGACTGAAGGCCCTGAAGTCCTGCCTGGTGTGTCTGACCTCCTACTGTGAGACTCACCTGGAGCCTCACCTGACAAGAGCAGGCCTGAAGAAACATCAGCTGATCGACCCTGTGGAGAACCTGGAAGGCAGGATGTGTGTGAAGCACGATAAACTGCTGGAGCTGTTCTGTAAGACCGACCAGGTGTGTGTCTGCATGCTCTGCACTGTTTTAGACCACAAGACACATGATGTTGTTCCTCTGAAAGAAGAATATGAAGGAAAGAAGGCTGAGCTGGGGAAGACAGAGGCTGAAATTCAGCAGATGATCCAGAAGAGACGACTGAAGATTCAGGAGATGAATTGCTCAGTGGAGCTCAGTAAGGAAGGAGCAGACAGAGAGATAGCAGATGGTGTTCAGGTCTTCACCGCTCTGAAGGAGTCTGTTGAGAGAAGCCAGGCCGAGCTCATCGACACCATCAAAGAGAAGCAGAGAGAGACAGAGGAACAGGCTGAAGGCTTCATCAAAGAGCTGGAACAGGAAATCTCTGAGCTGAAGAAGAGAAGCTCTGAGGTGGAGCAGCTCTCACGCTCTGAAGACCAGCTCCACCTCCTCCAAAGCTTCACGTTCTTGAACACTGCTCCACCCACCAAGAACTGGACAGAAGTCAGGGTCCGTCCACCTTCATATGAGGGGACTGTGTTGAGAGCTGTGACTCAGCTGGAGGAGACGCTCAGTAAACAGATGAAGAAGCTGCTTGAGGTGGAGCTGAAGAGGGTCCAGCAGTATGAGGTGGAGGTGACTCTTGATCCTGATACAGCACATCCTGAACTCATCCTGTCTGATGATGGAAAACAAGTGAAAGATGGTAATGTGACGAAAAATCTCCCAGACAATCCAGAGAGATTTGATTTGTGTCCTTGTGTCCTTGTGTCTTAGCAAAGCAGAGTTTCTCTTCAGGAATATTTTATTACGAGGTTCAGGTCAAAGGGAAGACTGAGTGGGATGTAGGAGTGGTCAGAGAGTCGATCAACAGGAAGGGAGAGATCGCACTGACTCCTCAGGATGGTTGTTGGGTGATATGGTTGAGGAACAAGAATGAGTACAAAGCTTGTGCTGGTCCTTCAGTTCGTCTCTCTCTGAAGTCTCAGCCTGAGAAGGTGGGGGTGTTTGTGGATTATGAGGAGGGTCTGGTCTCCTTTTATGATGTTGATGCAACTCTGATCTACTCCTTCACTGGCTGCTGCTTCACTGAGAAACTCTACCCTTACTTTTGTCCCGGTCTTAATCATGGTGGCAAAAACTCTGCCTCTCTGATCATCTCTCCTGTCAACCACACCGAGTAGAACATCCATTTGATATTTTTTGTTTTTCTCTAATACTTACTTCTATTATTTACAGATTTTACGATTTACAGAATATCATCCAATGTCCAGTTAATTTTAATGGCTGCATTTCCTGCCTTAAAGCTCTCCTAGTATACTATTTTTAGGCATATATTATAGGTTTGAAAGATATGTCTGTGTTTTGCTCAAAATACCAAACAGATCATGAATTTTAGACATCCCTCATATCCCTCTATTCCAGCCCTGTTACAGAAACGCTGATTCAGGGTCGTAGCTTTACATTTGAACTCGGCTGATGCTGGCCCCGCCCCCTTTTGAGCGTGGCAAGGCAAGCATTGAGGCCTCTGTAAAGATTCTCTGCCGGCAGATTGTCAGCTAAATGCTGCCATGATTAAATGCCATAATTTGTTCACATCAAGGATTATTTCTGAAACAGTATGGAGCTCAAATGCTTTTTCTCTTGTGGGTTTACCACTAGCTGAGTATTTTTATTTCATGCTTTTTTTTTGTTACACACCCTCTCCAGTACAGGTTAGCTTTGAGTGTTAGCGATGCTAATATAAACAGACCATATTACTTCCAAAACACATCATGCATTGTAGCAACTTTCTGATTGGGCCGTGGGTGTAAAGCCAGCACACATTTCCGATATTACGTCATATCGGATGCAAATCTGGATCAGCTCCGTTCCCCCGTTTTTTTAGAGATTTGGGTATGGAGGAAAAGAGAGATGGTTTTGTTTCCTGACACTTTGTGAGTTCCCTGACACATATCTATGCATACAAGACATGAAAAGGTGCATTTTGCATGATAGGAGACCTTTGAACAATGTTAAACAATGACTAATCAGCATTTGTTTGTTCTGTGAATGTGTCGAATTAAATATTCATAGCATTTGATTATTTTATATACAAGTGTTATTCTGCAGCAATATCTCGGAAAAGTGATTTTCAAATGAATGTTTCATCGGCTTACTTTTTAGATATTTTAGTGTACTGATCTGTAAAATACCTGCACAAAAAAATGTCAATGATGGCAATTGAAAGAAACAGTTTACAGATCCATTGTATAGTTCATGGATGTTCATACAACATGTGATGCATCAATGTGGTGTTTATTTACCTATAATAAGGGTAGTAGCCGTGGGTTTCATAACAATGTTCCCAAACATTATTATGGTGTTTAATTGATATTTGCTAGAGTTGGGATCATAAGTTTGAAGTTTAATTTACATCAATGCATTTAAGAAATGTATTTGTTCTTGGTTTACCATTGCTTAGAGCTATCCAATCTATTTGAACAACCATGTGTCACTGCTGACTCATCTTGATTTCTTCCAATGAGCATAGGTTTCAAAAATAAATAAAGATCTTTAACAGCATTAAATTCATTTTAAAGTTTTTATTTTGCACTTTCACCACAGAGGTCTCTCCTTCACTGTGATTGGTCCAACAGCTGTTTCCTGTTCCCACTGAGCCTCTGCAACACAGAAACCCTTAATGATTAGTAAACATCACAGCCTCCCATTTGTACCTCAAAAAAACATTTAGTAAAAAAGGTATCCCATAATGTATTGATTATCTAAGTAAATAAGTTGAGGGACCTTCAGCATAGTTTTTAAATACAAACATCCCCCTACATTTTCACTTGAAAAGCTAAAAGTCTACTACCAAAGTAGGTAGCTTATTTTTTTTAAGTACAGTATGTCGAATTTACATTGTTAACTTTCTTTTAAAAACACCCATAAATATTGCTTTGGACAAAAAAAATTGTTGGGTTGTATTATTGAAAGTAGATACAAATTCCCACAGCTTAACATAGAAAATAAATTAGTTTCCAAATGAAAGGCCATGTCTAATTATTTTAACTTGATATTTTTGCACAAACTTGTTATAATGGATAATATTGGTTAAGGATAATTCAGTTGAGGGTTGTCAAATGTTATAATAGAACAATAAGGTAATCATTTATAAAGGAGCTTAGAAAGTCAGTAATATATCAAAGTTATCCATCCTCACCGGATCCAGTCATGTGACTTCCTGTCCTACAGTCTGTGTCACAGCAGGAACATGCTCGATGGTTGCCGCTGGCCTCCCTCCACCTGTCAATGAAAAGCTCTGCCCCTTACTACTGATCCAGTTTCTAAAATGTGGTAAATAAGAATCTAAAGCAATGTGATCAATTTCGCTTTGACTTTTAGAACTTCAACAGGCAAACATGTCACATCGAAGTCCCCTCTCTTCGCAGACCAAAGGATGCTGGGAGTTGTAGTGTTGATAGAGTCTTACCCGTTGGAGAAGGAACAGGCCTTATTGGTGCCATCAACAGCGGCAGAAGCTGGAGC